GTTGATGACAGACGTGAAAACGCAAAAAAAAAAAAAAAAAAAAAACTCTGCGTCTTTATTGGAAGTCGCAAGTAGTCGCCGTCCTTAGCCTCTGCCCCGTTGTCTCTGCAGTTTCGCAGAGTTGGCGGAAGGAACCGATCTAAGGTTACAGAGAGTTTAGTAAGTACAAAGTCCAAATATATTCTGACCTGAACACATCGTCAACCCTGAGCAGAGTTTAGAAACAGCCACCATGTGACATCACTTCCCTTTTTCGGGGGGTGTTAAAACCGTCTGCACGTCTGGACGTTACTGCAGATACCCCCCTTCCCTTCACTTTAAAAAAAAAAAAAGAGAAGTTCAACTCAATAGACAGGAGAACTTAAAATGACCGCTGACGTCATTGTTGGCGTACAACGGTGTAGCCTGTAGCCTTTTACTTCCGCTTTTGCTCGTCCAGCGTTTAGAAGCAGACGGTGAAGATCCTGAAAGCGTCTAACGCGAACCAGCAGGTGCGTGGGCCGTGCGTGACAGCGATACGTTCAGCGCGGCAGGTTATCAGCTTCTACGCCTTGTCAACGCGCCGACTGCCGTGAGCCGAGGCGGGGCATCGATCGCAAACATCCAGACAAATGCGACCGTCGTCTGATGGGGATACGTTTACACCACAAGCATTTATATTTGGGCATTGGGTGACATGAGGTTTCGACGCTGACGACAAGCGGGGCCAGTCATTTATTGAGAGACTATACTGAGAGAGTCGAGGTAATTTTTCTATTTATAAAAGTGTTAAAATAAACACTTCTTGTATTGACATTTCATTAGCGCAGCAAAATGGCACATAAATTATTAATACTTTTGTAGAAATGGGGCAATTGTTTGGAAACCAAGAAAGTTTAGCTTCACTATTAGCACACAATTAGCTTTAGGTACTGTAATTTCCGAAGTATAAAGTTGTACTTTTGTTTCGTCCTTTGGCTGGGTTTGCGTCTTATACTCAGGTGCGACTTATATATTAAAATATATAATTTCACATGCCAGCCACTAGAGGGCACTCTAGGCTTGTGTACCAATATCTGCTACTCCTGCACCACTGAAAATGTACATGCTCATTATTTTCACACTGACAGCCGCTAGAGGGCACTCTAGGCTTATACTCCGCAGCGACTTATATATGTTTTTCTTCTTTTTTTTTATTCCGGTGCGATTTATATTCCGGTGCGATTTATACAACTTATATATGGCATTTATTTTATAAAATATTTTGTTTTTGTCAGGCTACAACAGCTATCTAAAACAAGAAAGATATTTAATATTTAATATACGTTTTTTTTTCAATACCAATCATGCTGTGTAAACAAAAGAAGCAAACAAACAGACGCACATTTGATTTCATCGTTTGATTTTAGATGTTTGTAAATTTCAGAAAAAAATATCACCTTTGACCCCCACCCAACTCCCTCAACTCTCATGTTCGCGTTGGTGTCGAACGGTCAGCTGCGAACAATAGTACGACAGAAAAACGCTAAATCAATCACGAGCTGTACTTTGGCCTTTCTCTTCGGGACAAATTATTAAATAGGGGGAAAATTCTGTTACCTTATTAAGTTGATTTAGAACAAGTACATTACCTTCTATCAAATTATGGAAGAAAAAAAAAAAAAAGAAATGAAACGTAATTTAACAAAACACAAACATACAAAAACCAGATGAGAAATAAAGGCCAATCAGGGCAGAAAGACAAAGAGGGATAGTTAATCCCCGGGGTAAATATTTAACAAGCTCAGCAATACCGGGTCACGGAGGTGAAGGGAATTAGAGCCTGTTTACTGTCAACGTATATGGGCACAGGCCGAGGAACGGACACAGATAGATACAGATGTAAACAGCAAAAAAAAACCCCAAAGTTACGAGATAACGTACCACCTACTGTAGTTATCTGTAGTAGTACTACTGCTGGCAATACTGAAAACTTTAGAGACATTTGTGAAGTTACTGAAGTGCTCTAACATTTTTTTAGGATTTTTTTTTATTATTATTTTTTCTCCGTTGGAAAATATATGACCGGTAACATGAGTTGCTGAGGTTTTTTTTTTTTTTTTTTTTTTTTTTTTTGACTGATGTGCAGCTGCATTTCAGTGACTTAGCCGAGATGCTGAGAGACACGACCGAGAATACTAGCTCGACATAAATCACACTTGGACTGCGCATGGTGGGGGAGAGGGGGGGTCCAAAATAAAGACTTAATATATATATATATATATATATATAGCATATTTATTAAGCGTGTGAAAATTAAAACGACTGAAAATGTGTAGACACGTGGTTGCATTATTGCTGAGACGGCACAATTTGGTCTGAGTAATATTTAATTTTTTTTGACAGATATATTTCATGTTAAGTCGTATGTTATTACTGCACAAGTGGAGAATATAAATGAAGAAAATGAATGCAATATAGTTCGGTGTCAAGTCTAACTATTGCCTTATTAACACGACAGGTATATCATTTAGAAAAATAAGAAAATGCCTTGCATCGCTTTTAAAAATTTTTTTTAAAGCAAATCTCATGTAATGACAAATACAAATATGCAGGGAAGGGAGTCTTAGTCAGGAAAAAAATAACATTGTAAATATATATTTTTTTTTACTTGTGCAGTTACCCTGTATGGAAACATGTTACATTTTTAACATGAAAACTATATTTGTCTTTTTTGCTTCAGGCCCGCAAACATTTACAGAGTAACGTTTAAATAAGAAATCGTGTTTACACAGTTAGTTAGTTAGTTGGTTAGTTAGTTAGTTCTAAAAGGGTATGGTTATAGTCCATAATTCTTCTCCTGTTTTTGTTACAATTGAAATCACATGTCACTCGGACCTTAATGGAACATGACAATCGTTGGATGTAAAGCAGATGTCTGTAAAAGATGCCGCTTTTTTTTTTTTCTTTTCTTTTTTTTGGTAACAGATGCACATGAGCAGCAGAGGGGTATATTTGCATGCACTTTACAGGCACAAACGGTTCCCTGTGCTCCACCCAGGAGCAGTCACGCAACAACCGGAGGAGAAAACTTTGGGCGCTTCCAAAATCCACCTGCTCCCATTTTTTTTTTTTTTTTTTTTTTTGTGTTTGTTTTTTTAAAGTTTCCTTTAGGCCTCTCACCCCAAATAAGATGCACTCATGTCACTTCTCAACCTGAACCAAAATCCATATCACTGCAGTGGACAACGTTCACAACGCTACAGCAACTGGACACAGTCCCCCCAGTGGATACATTGAGGAACTACACCACAGAGAGAAGGTTTTCAGGGCTTTTTTTTTTTTTTTTTTTGTGGTTAAATGTCAGTTTGTGTAAGAATGAAATATAATAAAATAAAAATAAATTTAAATTGGGTGTCAGTGCAAACGTCAGGCAGGATGTGGACATGTACCTATTAGTCATTTTACATTTATCAGGAAATGACCTCAGGTTCTATGGTGAGGCTATTTTCAGAGACAAGACAAGATAAGAGAACCGAAAGAAGAACGAGATGAATAAACAAATAATAGTAAAATAATCCTAATATATATATATATATGTTATTAACAAGAAAATAAATAGAATCATAGCTTTTCCATTCATAATAATATAATACAATACAAAGCAATGCCCATGCAGACCTCAGTGTATCCCGTCCTCCGTTTAGCATCGCCCAAGAGATGCATCATCAACACATCACTTCACAGCTTTCGGCAGATTATCAGCTCTCCATCACATCCACACACATAACTGAAGTCCGATTAGCACCTGTTGAAAACAATCTTTGGCATGAGGTTAAGCGAGATAACCGTTAACTGTCGAACAACGACGTCATTTTGCGTGCCCACAAAGGAAAATCAGAGGCGGAAGACGATGGAGATTAGCGAGCGAG